AAACCCATCCCAGCATGAGACCAAAGTTGTGGTGGTATCATGACAGCCTGGACTGCTGCTGCTGATCCCAGACCTGGCCTGGAGATAAGCAGAGGAGTCCAGGCTCCAGTGCTGCCAGACTAGCAATAAGCTAGGATAGAAAGCTGACAGGCTAAGGGTTTGTCTACAGCACCTCCACAGCACACTCAGAAACCTGACTTCCAATAATGGCATGAGCTCCTGTACTCAGTGCGGTGATAGCTAAGACTCCCCTTATTGAAAGAAATGACAACCTAGTGGTTAAAGCCCAGGGTGGCTCTAACAAGTATGTTTAGCCCTGCCAAGGACTTCCTCTCTAACCACAGGCAAGTCACTTCCCCTCTCTGTGCCTCAGGCAGCACCAAGAGACCTACTAAATGATGTGGGCACCATAATGCTATGCACTCGCTCTACACACACCCAAAAGACAGCCCCCTATGTTAGCACAGAGGTGAGTTGTAAGGGCTCACCAATGTTTGTAAGCCCTCGCATGACATACATTCAATGTTTGTAAGCCCTTCAAGACCCTTGCATGAAACACATTCAATAAGTGCAAAGACTGATTCACACTTATTTCTGGACTCTGGTTTTGCTCATCTGAACAGGTTCTTGACCCGTAATACCTAATAGCGAACAAAAACCTGCACTATTATACTTGTCACTTAAAAAGTTACCTGAGAACAATGGGAACCAGCTGGTATGTTTTACCAGGAAGTGAAGAGTCATGAGTTCACTTTGTGATAAAAGGTCACATTTGTGCCAAGAACAAGCTGATGAAACATCATCTGTAACAATGGCGGCATTGATCACACATTACCTCTCCCCACAGAAATAAAAGTAGTGTATAGAGACCGCATTGATAACAGACTTTCCAAGGAAACCTTCCTCCACTGCACTACAGTCGCTGTGGCTCGGATAAGACAGAATGGTGACAGAGGCCATCTGAGCCCTGCCAACAGCAGCTCTGCCACTGCTTCTCCAGTGAGCCCGTAAGACCACATTAGCCAGGGAGAGCTGTTCTCAAATGCCTTTTGATGACTTCAGCTGAAGGCAGAGGCTCTTCCCTTATGCTCTACCCATGCAACAGAACACGGCAAGAGTCTGAAAGTCAGATCAGGTGAGAGTTTGTAAAAATTGTAAATGCCAGAGAACTCACCAGCAGATTCCCAGAGAAGTAACAACAAATATTATACCTTTACAAAAACATCAAGAATCTTATGGGCAAAAATGTTGGAGTTTTTGCTTCAAGGAAGCCACAGTCAATACAATACTATGAAGCATTCACAAAGCAGCCTATAATCAAAGCCTGCATCCAACTACCTCAGCCCTCTGTACAGCCAGGCACTTAGCCACATCAACAATCCCACTGATCTAATGCAACTCCTCGTCTTCGAATTAAGGGCATGCTTAAGTGTTTGCTAAACTGGGACTTATGGGTTATAAAGCATTCAACATCTTGAATTCCTACCCAAGTTTGCTGATGTGTTTTGGTTAATTTCCAAAAAAAGAAAACATGGAGCTCACAAAAACCGTGACATCTACAGACCAAACCACCTGTCTCTCCTGATGAGCTACCTTGGTGAAAGAACCAAGAGAATTTTTCAAGCCCAAAAATGTTTTAAATGCATTTTATGGGAGCAGCAGCTAGCTTGAACTTGGCAAAAGCAAGCAGCACTTTACCGTCATAAAACAAAGAGTCTGAAAATCTCTGCATTAGTTTGATCACTTGTCAACTGGAGGAGAAGACAGGCCACAGATACTTATGTAAACAGCCTTGACTACTGTGCTTTAAGTTCCAAGCACTGGTGCTTTTCAGATAAATATCTTGCTTAGATATCCGTGCACATGAATTGCTCATAATTATGTTCTCTCCTTCTACTGCTTGCCAGCCAAAAGGAATCCTCCCAAATTTCCTCGAAATAGCAGCTCTAATGAACTCTGCCTGCTAGTTATGACAGGAAGGATGCACTGTGTACAAATGCCACGTAAGGCACGATGCAGAACCAGGCTGAAAACAAAGCCAAGCCAAGTCCAATGCCCCAAACTCCTTCCTTTCCTTTTTTTGCATGCTTGTGACCAGGTATCTGGCAGAATTTGCAGATTCACTGGAATCTGATAGAGCCACACCATAAGCGTTTCTATTGCAGCCTCAAACTTGTCATCTTTGGGCTGTCAAATGCACAACTTAGTGCCCGCACCATGCCAGCTTTCCCCCGCCCCAAATTCTTTGAAACACTGGGTAAAAGCTGCATTCCCCAATTGGACACGAGACTTTCAGAGCTATGTTGCAACACTCTTCAGACCCACAATGGCTAGATGAGTACAGCCTTTCACCTCTGGGATACTGGCTGGCAGAAATGCAGCCAGCTGGGGAGAAGTGCTCATATCAAGGTAGCAAAGGCTCAAATGGGGATTGCACTAGGTACTCTGCAAGTCAAGAGGAGAAACACCCTCAGACCTCAGCCTACCCAATGTGAAAGCAGCTTGGCAGGGCTCTGCTCCACTCTACTCCAGATAGACTGGGTTTATAACCAGCAGGAGTGCCTAAAACCCCTCTCCTCCCTGGCTTGCTTATAGTCCCAGCAAAGAAACCCAGGACTGAACGGACCTGGGGAACAAACTGCCCATCTCTCAGGTGCACTCTTTCCACACCAAGCACAGGGCTGCTCCCCACCCCCCGCCCTATGCAATGCTCTGTGGTAAGAAGAGCACATTACTCACTGGAAAAGTTAATCTAGCACTTTTGACCACTAGTAAATTCACCACCCACCCACACATCTGTGCAGACTACTGCCATACTTGGCTATTCCTGGTTGTCATGCAGCCCAAGCCTACTCACACAGTCCTTGCCTCAGGATGTTGCTCCTATATCAGCTCAGGATACTCAGCTAACCACTTAAGTCACCTCCTGCAGTTACTGCAAGTCTACACAGGAAGAGCCCAGAAAGACAGAGCCACAGTTCTCACTTGCTGCTCTCCCAGGCTAGGAAATAAATGGACCTCATTTTGTCAGTAAAGGATGCTTCTTCCAGGTGAAACCTGGAAACTTCCATCGCACATTAAATACCAGCTTCTTACAGATCCATCCGAGGCAGGTGTGAAAGCCTTCTCTGCATCTCTCAACTTCAGTAGCTTGAAAAGGAACAAGCAAGCAAGCAGAGAAAAGTGCCTGGGCACAGCACAGACTGTCACACACTTCCCCTCACAATCCCACAGGAGCCCAGGCATTGCTATTACTCCCATTGATCAAAAAAGCCAAAAGAAATACACAGAAGCTACAGATGAAGGTGTCACGAGAACTTCATGGTTAAAGGGTTGAATAAAATCAGGAACCATTCAGATAAACTGAGGGGGGATTTGACAGCAGCCTTTAACTCCCTGCAGGGGGGTTGCAAAGAGGTTGGAGCTGGACTGGTCTCAGTAGGGGCAGGAGACAGAACAAGGAGTAATGGGCTCAGGCTGCAGCAAGGAAGGTTTAGGCTGGATATTGGGAAAAGCTCTCTCACTAGGAGGGTGGTAAAGCACTGGAACAGGTTACCTAGAGAGGTGGCAAAATCTCAATCCTTGGAGGTTTTTAAGGCCTGGCTCAACAAAGCCCTGGCTGGGATGATGTAGTTGGGGCTGATCCTGCTCTCACCAGGGGGTTGGATAGATGTGACCTCTATAAAACCCTCATTTTATAGGATTCTAAACCTGTGGCTGCAGGGAACAAGAGAAAGGACTGCTGTCCCCTTACTCGCACCGCAGAACAGCAATGCTGCACCAGCTGGTCATGTCGGGGCACTAGCAGGTCCTGACTGCTTGCTAAATTCCTGGGAGGCATAGCCCCCCTGACAGAGCGTGCGACGGTGGTGAGAAGCTGTGAAGCGGTGGCAACCATAAGCCTAGGGCAGTAGTTCCATCTACGGAACAAAGTAATGAGAGAGATCTAATTTCAGGTTCACACAGAGCCCGGAGTTATGTTTGCCTTTCCTATGCTCTGGATGTATAAAAACCCCACAAACCAACAGGCTCAGCAATTTTTACCTACCATCTTGAAAATCACTTTCTTCCTGCGGCTTCTCCAGCTGTTTAAAGGGATGCCACTAGGTCAGAACTGACCAACCAGGTAAAGTAAAAATTGTAAAAACAAAGAAAAAACAACCAACCAACCCACCCCTTCATAAAATGTAAAACCAGTGGAAAGAATGCAAAGACTTACTTAAATCTGACAGAAATACTGAGAGTCCATCTCCCCCAGCAGCATGCAGCTCAGTATTTAGGTGAGCACAGAAGAGGACCAGCCAGGACTAGAAAGGGAAGTGAAAATGGATCTCTCTAATTTCACTGTTGAAGCTGAGACAGTTACGTGCGCATCAGGGTGGAGCAGCAGACATTACATGGGCTTTATTCTTTAAGGTTCTGAGGAAACCCAGCATCTTGGCATCACGCAGGCTAGTAGTGGGTATTTTTTGTAAGAAGGAAAGAGAGGCCATTCCTCTTCCGGCTAATGAAACAGGGAGCCAGATATTTGTCTCTGCCCAGCCATGGCTATCCTGGGTCAGTAGATAGAGTACAACAGCGAAGGATGAAGCCAAGAACCACCCCTGCCCCCAAACACACATGCACCTCCCCAACTTGCCTACTTTGAAAACTAGAGAGCCATCCAAGCGCTGGTCCCAATTAGGAGATGCTGACCAGACTAACCCAGGGTGCAGAGACCCACGTGGCAGCTGCTGCTGGGGCTGTGCTTGCCCAGCCAGGCAGTGTTCCCAAGCACCAGGAGCTGGATAGGATCAGCCCTCACTCTGGCCTCCCACCAGTCAGCTGAGCGACAAGTGCCTGCCACTGGAGCTAAACAATACCAGGCCAGTTACGGAGCCACTGCTGAGAGTCCCCTTGCTGGGGAACCTTTGCAGGTCCCTCCCTCCCCTGCTCTAGGGCACCGAGTCTGCATCCCATTCCTTTCCCAGCATGGCCACATCCTTCCTGAGCCACCTTACCGTGCATGACAGCCATCAGCAGCTCAGCCCCGCACAGAGACACTGCTGCAGCCCCGCTTCTCTGTGGCATCAGCACCCACGCCTCCCAGGAGACCGGTTCTCCCCCCTCCGCCAACACCAACCTCAGCATCAGCTCAGCCCCACATCACCTTCCCTGCAACCGCCGGCTCCTCTCCCTGCCAGCCAAACCCAGGCCTCCTTTGTCTCCTCTCCCTGCTACTTGGGCTCCACGCTGGGCGGAGAGGCAGCAGCTGGCACCCCTGCGGTGCCATCCATCAGCCGCCCGGCAGGCGCAGCCGGCAGTGCCCCCTGCCCTCACCCTTGCCGGGTGCAGCCGGGCTCCCGTCCGGGGAGCACCAGCCTGCGGCGTGCAGCCGCGACCCCGCACCCGCCCCAGCCGGCGGGGTAGGGGACAGGGCAGGACAGC